GGAGGACTTCTTAGGACCTAATGGATTGAAACTTGATAGTGTTCTAGATGCCTTGTCAAGAGGCATATTTACCCCATGTAAACAATGTGGCGTTATAGTTTTAATTTTGCTGGGTGCAGTGCCCTCTACCTGTAGTCCCACCTACTCAGGAGGCTGAAGCAAGAGGATCACTTGAGTCCAGGAGTTGGAGGTCAACCTAGGCAACATAGTGAGACCCTGTCTCAAAAATATAAATAAATAATTTAAAAGGTACTTATCATCTTAGTCTGCTATTCTACTCCATCTATTACCTTTATAATCATATGGAAAGATAATAAGAATTTTTATTCTGGAAACCAAGAGAAAAAATATGCAGGAGAGAAGACCCTGCTTAAATTACAATTGCTAATCATTGAAGTATTACCAAGAAGTATATGTAAGTAACTTATTTATCTGAATATTGATGTTTAAGGTCAAATTTGTTGTTTGATTTTTTTTATTTATTTTTTTTTTTGGTACCAGGATTGAATCCAGGGTGCTTAACCACTGACTGCTCCTTCTGACCTTTTATTTTTTTATGTTATTTTGAGACAGGAACAGGGCCTTGTTAAGTTGCTGAGGCTGATCTTGGGAACCTCCTGCCTCAGCCTCCTGACCCAGTGGGATTCCAGACATGCACCACCCTGCCCGGCACTGATTCCTTTATACTATAATGCACATATTAGGTTGTTTTAAATGTTCCAGAGTGGGAGACACAGTTCAGTAGTAGAATGCTTATTTAGTAATTGCAAGGCCTTGGGTTCCATCCCCAGTACCACAAACATAAGTCAAAGTTAAATGAGAAAAGAGAAAACCTACTCTTGGCTGAGACACGTCTATGGAGCAAGTCCTATTTTTGGACCACTCGCCTGTGACACAGGCACCCACCAGTGCTGGTCTGCCTTGCTCTGCCACCTCCCTGCACATGGCCAAGTCCCCTCCTGCTGAGCTTCAGTTCCCCCATTGTGAACCCAGGAGACTGGACAATCTCTGTCCTCTGGCCATGACCAACTACCCACCTGCCTGGCCAGAGCTCCCTTGGACCCTGGCACCATCTTGGTCTGTCTTCCAGGAGCAGCGCTGTCATGTCCACGGTCTTGTGAGTCCCTGGCCACGATGGGCAGGGCTTTCTTCACCTTGCTCCAGCTTAGCCCAGCTTCCAGGTCCTTGCTCCATGACGCTGGCTGGCCACTCCCTCACACCAGGCTCCACACGAGGCCCTCCCATCTCTAAAGTTCAGTGGGATGAGAGAGGGAGAGGAGAGAGAGAGAGAGAGAGGAGACTCACCTTTTCCGAGCTCATTAGTGACCACTTTCCATGTGTGGCTTTCAGTTCATGGCAGCCTTGAAAAAGTGAGGGTATTTTCATCTGATAGGCAGGGAAACTGATGCCTAGAGAAACAGGCCTTGCCCAAGGTCACAACAGTTCGCAGAGGCAGCTCAAGGGTGTAAACCCAGTTCTCTCCGGGTCTGGACTCCTTGGGAAAACATAGGAGCCGTGGTCGCTGCTGCCACATCCCACGAGACCCAGGGGTGCTCCCTGCTCTCCAAAGTCTGAGTCAGCTTCCAGGAAAGATGCGTGTGTTAAAGAACTGCAGAGACCAGCCACACCACGCTTTGAAGGCAGCAAAGGGCGCAGCAGGATTGGGGAGGGGTAGGAGCTGAGCACTGGGATGTGTGCCAGATCCCACTTCCTCCTGGCTGGCACCACCCACCACCAGGGAAGACGGTGGTGACATCAGACAACCCCGTGTGGAGTCACCCTTTCCTGGGAGGCCCATCACTTTGCACACTCGGGCTCTAAAGAGCGCTCACAATGTGCTGTGCTGAAAGTGAAAGCCAGTTCTGCCCCCCATTCCTGGAGAGGTCACCATGATGTCACCGCCTTCAGTCTCAGCCCAGCATTCAGGACCTCTGGATCATCCCTTCAGCAAGCCAATGCATTCCTGCCTAAAGGAGTTAGTTAAGTGACTTATTCTCGGGACCTTCTTCCCCAACTTGGGAAGCTGGGAGCTAATGAAAGAGTGCCTGGCTTGGTGTCACATGGGGATGAATCCATCTCAACAAGGAATGCCCTGCCGAGTGGCAGCGCCCCCATATCTGAATTTGAGCCCAGGTGAGGGCATCAGCCCCTGCACTCTGCTGCCCTTAGGAGGTGCCCCTTCCTCACCCCCTGGATTAGATGGGGCTGACCCCATCCCCACTCCAGCATGAGCCTGGGACCCCAGCTCTGCCAATCTCTTCTCTTCCCCTCGCCACAGGGACTGCTGTCAGGACCCAAGCCACACCAAGGACAGCCAGCCCGGGACCTCTGTTGGAACTACTAGGAAAGTGGCGGGAGGTGGGGGCACCCCCCTCCCTGTTAAGCTAAGCTGGCCCTTTGGGGGTCATCCCACTGTGAGCCAGCCCCGCCCGAGGCTGTAGCCCGCCCCCAGGCACTTTTAAGTTTTCTGTCATTAAAGAGACATTTCACTGAAACATCATCTCATCAATGTTCTTGCACCCCACAATTTTTTTCTTTATAATGAAACATAATCCAGGTCTGTTGCTATGTGTACAGAAAAATTCATCAGGTATTACTAACTAACCTTGTTAAAAATTCAACCCAAGTTTATGTGACTTATTGTTCTGACTCTTTTACATTTATCACTTCATCAAATCCTTGGATTACTATCCTCATTATACAGAGGAAGCTTAAAGAAGTTAGTTAAGTGACTTGCCCCAGAACAAGCTCCAGGCCCTGGGATAGAGCCTTCCTATCCTTCCATCTCCCTCCCAAAGAGCCCCTGCTCTGGAAAATATCTGAGCTCCCCTGACAGAAAATGACCTCCCCCAGAGGAGGTGACCTCCCCTACAGGTGTGTTCCACCCCAGGCTGAGACTTAGCTCCAGCAGGCTCCTTCACAGTCCTGGGTGGGACATCAGTACCAGCCTCAACCCAGAGCAGGCGCCTAAGCCTTCATCTTGTACTCATCCTCTACAGCTCCCTCAGGTGCCCTAAAACTAGGGATGCATGAGGTGGGAAGACCCAGACAGAGGTCCTCATCCCTGGGCACCTGGAGACCGGCTAAGCTTCTACCCAGCCCCATGAGGTGTGGAACATACTTGGGAAAAGGCCTTACATGTCTCCTAGCTTCTGCCAATTGGTCCCTTCCTTCTGCCTCAGTTTCCTCATTGGTAAAATGAGGAGCTTGGCTCGGGAGAATCCCCCAGCACCCAAGGCAGATCCTATGGGAATGAGAAAAGCAGAAGTTTATTTATTCAGAAAGGTTTTGGGGTCCCTGGATGAAAAGCTGCCTGGACTTTAATTCATTTATTCACTATCTGGGCATCTACTATGTGAAGGGGAATACTTGAGAGAGCAAAACAGGCAAAGCTTTGTAGCTCTGGTATTCAGGAGGCCTCCGAGCCGTCTGGCCTCTAGCCCAAGCTGAGGTGGTGGACTCATGGAGAGGCCTCTCCAAGCTGGGTGGGCAGAAGAGCTGAGGGCTTAGATTCAGAGGTTGTGTTCTCCCTCCAGCTCTGATGCCCTGTGGTGTGACCTTGACTCTCTGGGTACCAGCTTCCTCTCGTTCTCTTGTGGACTGAATGTCTTTGTTTGCCCAAACTATGTTCAAGCGCAACCTCAATCTTCAATATGATGGTGTTTGGAGACAGAGCCTTTAGGAGGTAATTAGGTTTGGATGAGGTCATGAGGGTGGAATTAGTGTCCTTGTAAGATGACAAAGAGTGACGAGAACTTTTTCTACCAAGTGAGGACACAGCGAGAAGGCAGCCATCTGCTAGCCAGAGGCCATTGCCACACTTCAATCTTGCGCTTCCCAGCCTCCCAAACTGTGAGATCAGTGTCTGTTGTTTAAGCCACCCAGGCTGGGGTAGTGTTGGGGCAGCCAGAGCACACCAGGACACCACCGAGTGAGGGCTGGGACCAGATGGCCCTGCCAGCCGGGGAGGGCCGCTGGCGGAAGCCTGGTATGGCCACTGGAGGTTAAACAGTAACCACCCCTCCCTCCCTGCCACTCCCTCTCCCTGCCACCTCCTCAGGGAGCTGAAGCCATCAAACCTGCCTCCTTTGCTCCTCCTCAGGGCTGTGGCCTCCTGGGAGGAGCCACACCTGCCTTCTACCTCTTACCTGAAGCCTGGGCCTGGGGGATCCAGGTTTGGGAGAGGGGCGCTTGGCCCGAGCCTCCCCCACAGCTGTTTGGGGGTACATCCTGCACAACGCCCTGCAGAGTGCTCCCTGAGGAGCTCTGGCTCACTGAGCCCCAGGTGCCCGCCTTAGGCAGGAAGCCCCAGCTCTCCCAGTGACTGGGAAACAAAAATAATTCAGAGAAACCGGGGCAGCCTCATTGCGTGGGGGTGTCCCACTTCCACCTCCGCCTCCAGGCCCCTCAGAAGCCAGGAGGCAAGGGCCCAGCTGTGATGCACAAGCCCTCCCACCGGGCCGTCCTAATTACAAGCCACCATCCAGAATGAGTCACCACAAACCTCAGGAGAGGGAGTCCGTCCTGACTGGATGGCACTTTACAACAGCTCTGTGCAGGGGGTGTGACTTCTTTGTCCCCCCGAAGCTTGTGTGTGAGAAGACCGAGGCCGCAGGCAATAGAGCTGGTGAGAGGGCGCAGGGGCTCAGAGCTTCCAGCTGTAAGGCCCAGGCAGCTTCAGGCCTAGCTGCAGGGAGGGCAGAGGATGGCTACGCTCCACGCCTCTGCTACGCTCGTGACACATCTCCAATCAGTCTCGGCATGGCAGGCACAGCTCGGGGCTGGTCAATTGCATTACCCTTTCCTGATGAGCTCACCCTCAAGATCCCCCATCATCAGCCTTGAGCGCTCATGACGCAGACACAACCCCAAGATGCACTTGTTGCCAGACCGTAGAACCCTACATGCTGTGTGCTGGTTCAGCACAGGGGTGGCTTGGCTCCTGTGTCCCCGCTATCAGATGTCCTATCCAAGCATGGCTTTCTCAGAGAGACACCACCATGCCGGTTTGCTCGGGGCTTGCTAGGTCTTCTAAAGAGGTTTTTACTAGGAAACATTTCAAACATTGTCCAAAATGTAGATAATACCACTTACAACTGTGCTCCCACTACACAAGCAATTACTGAAGTCCCTTTATCCTCTTCTGTCCCCCCACCTGTCTCCGGCCACCACTCTCTGAATTTTGTTCCTCCTTCTGGTGCTTATTTTATACTTTCATGACCTCTTTACAATCCATATTATTAAACCTTATGGAAATGTCATCGTCTTGTTCTGATCTTGTGGTAGTTTGCTATTTTCACACAACTGGATGCTTGGGACTGTTAGGCCTGGTGATAAACACAGTTTCGAATCTCCCAGGGTTTCATAAATGCAAAGGTCGAGGTCTCACTCTCTGCACCAGGCCTGGGTTCAGGCAACTCACCTGCCTTAACTCATCTATTCACAACAAAATCGTTATCCTCACTTTACAGATTTGCAAAGATAGCTTGGAAGCTGGGCTCCTAGTCCCTAGGTCTGATCTATGGAAACAGTAACATCCATCTATTTAAGGTCCATTGCTTGATTTTACAGACCCACCTGGACTCCACCTCAGAGGATCGGGGGAGTCATATTCTCCCCCATAGTTCCTACATTGAGCCTGGGAATTTGTACCATCCCAACTCACACCCTTTACAGATGAAGAAACAGGCTCAGAGAGGGTGACTCAGTTTCTCACAATTGCACTGCTCTGCTGTGGGCTGTGAACCTGTGCCCCAGGGAGCACAGGGACTCTCCCCAGCCCCATGTGAACCTGGGGCCCCACTGGCTTCTTCCCTGGCTCTGTTCCTGGCAGCCCGCCCTCCCTCCTCAGAATCACCCTCCCCACACCTGGCCTTCATTCTCCCAGTCTCCACCCTCCATAGTCCTTCTCCCAGAAAAGGGGCCCAACCGGAAGCCAGATCATGTCAGGAACTTCCAGCCACGTGAGCAGTCCTGAGCCAGGGATTCTGAGCAGCCGGTGGCTTTAGGAGAAACTGAAACTGGGCTTTCTGGGGGCGGAGTGGTCACTAGGGATTTAAAGAGCTGCCACTTCCTTGGGTCCCCAGAGGGCACCGGGAGGTCACAGCTGCTGAGGGACATCCAGGATCTGTGTGAGCCTGGCTCCCCTGCCTCAGCCATGCACCTCTGTGGAAGAGAAGTGCTGCTGATGGGGCCCGTGAGTACAGGGCTGCAGGGGTGGGGGGTGACGGGGAGGGGACTTGAGGGTCTCAGGGCCCAGGCCGTGGGGCATGAGGTGGGATGTTCTAGTGCCAGCTCTGTGCTCCTGGGCTGTGTGACCTCTGGCAGGCTCCACTCAAGCCCTCCCTGAGTCTGAATTTCCTCCCCTGAACCATCGGGGGACAGTTCCCAAGTTGCAGATGCAGCCTCGGGGTTAGATCTTGGACTTCCCACGGGCTCTCTCCAGACCCACCTCTTCTCCCGTGGTCCCTCCAGTCTCTGTCTTCCCATGACCCCTGCAGCCACGGGTTCCCTCACAGGTCTCCCCTCTTCTCTGACTGGGTCCTTCCCCGGGCTCTAGTTTGAAATGAGGGTGCTGTGGCCGTGAAGGCACCGGAGGCTGTGGCCTGGGTAGAGCTGGAGCCAGGAACTACTGAGGATCCAGAATCCTTGGCCAAGGAGGCCAGGGTCTTGCCTGAGGTCCTGACCCACAAAACACCCCGAAGAATGATGGGGGCCTGTTGGGCTGTGAGGTCTTCCACTGCCCCCCTTGCCTCGTCTTTCCAGAGCTCTGGGCCATTGGAGTGAATGTTCACCTAAGTTTCAAGGTGCCCAGGTTGGGGATGGTCGCAGCTGACAACCTTGGAGTCCATTGGTCCGGCAAAAGGGACTCTCCATTCATTCGTCCCAGATGATTGCTCAGCTAGAACATGGGGGCAGGGGTGGTTCCTGTTTTGTCCCCCTGACTACGTGTCCGGCCGACACACAGTAGATAAGTAATAGATTTTTGTGGAGTGAGTGGATATCAGCTTTGGATGTGAGCAGGACATAGACAGAGGGCCCCCGCCCTCAGGGAGCACTGCAGGGAGCACTCCGCGAGCAGAGCTGACCTCTCCCAGCTCTGGCTCCGAGCTGCCTGCCCTGTGGGTTTCTCTCCACGCCTCATAGTGGCCTCTGAAGAAGGTACCATAATGCCACTCTTGCACAGAGGAGGTGACCGGGCTCAGAGAAGTGAGCGACCAGCCCAGAGAGACATGGCTCGTGAGAATGTGCCATTCGAAGCCAGTTCTGTCCAGGTTTCAATCCCAGGCTCCTCAGCTTCCCTACTTGTCCTCGCCCCCAAATATTCTATGAGCAGGGCTTATGAGGTGTGCGAGGCCTGCAGAGGAGTATGGGTGCTGAAGGAGCAAGAGGGGCTTCTAGGACAGGTCAAGTCCCCAAGGGAACAACTTGGCTTTGCAAATGGCTGGCCAGAGCAGAGGGCAAGAGTCCTGCTGGAATCCCTGAGCCCTGTGTCCCATGCCCAGCAGGACCCACCAGATTGTCAGAAGCAGCTGAAGAAGAAACAGAAAAACCGGGTGGCCGCCCAGCGCAGCCGGCAGAAGCACACAGACAAGGCAGATGCCCTGCACCAGGTGGGGACACCCTCCATCTTAGACAACTTTCTGTTACTATAAGTGAATACCACAGACCAGATAATTCATAAAGAAAAGATGTTTGTGCTGCACACTGGTGATCCCAGCAATTTGGGAGGCTGTAGCAGGAGGATTGCCAAGTTTAAGGCCACCAGAGCTACTTAGTGAAACCTGTCACAAGGTTAAAAAAGAAAGAAGAAAGGAAGGAAGCAAGAAGGACTGTTGATATAGCTCAGTGGGAGAGTGTCTCTGGGTTCAATCTCCAGTAGTACAATTAAAAAAAAAAAAAAAGAGGTTGGTTTAGGGACATCGAAGAGCATGATGCCAGTTTGTGTGGAGAGCCTTCCTGCTGGTCACAAGTGGCATGGCGGGGGACATCACAGAGCAAGATGGAGCAGAGACAGCTCACTTTTATAGCAAATCCACTCTCACCATAACCAAATAACCCACTAATTAATTAACCCATCCTCAGCAGTGGCCCTCGGGTCCACATCCCAAATACATGACTTGTCTCCCTCCTTGGCACCCTAAGGGCAGGGAACCATTCCTTTCCCTGCTACTCGCCCATCATCACCTAGAACAGGGTATAGCGCAGCCTGCGGAGCAGGTGAGAGGCACTGGGATCAAGTCACCATCCGGCAAATGATAAGGCAGTGTGGGGACACAGGGGTAGGGCAGCGCATCCATCTGCTGGGGCTGCAGACACTGCAGGCTTAACCCGCAGAGATTTATTTTCTAAAGTCCAAGATCAAGGCACATGTTAATTTTCTCTGTGCTGACGGCTCTCTTCCTGCCAGGGTGCTTGGGGGTGCTGTGGTCTTTTTCCACGGATGTGAGAGGAGAGTCATCTCTCTCCCTTCTCTCTCTCCCTTCCTCTTTTGGTGGTGCTGGGGCTCAAACCCAGGGCCTCACGCATGCCAGGGGAACTCTACCACAGGGCCACATCCCCAGTCCTCCTTCCTCTTCTTATAAGGCTACCAATCCTGTAAGATCCCTTATGACCTCATTCACTCTAAATTACCTCCTAAAAGGCCTGTTTCTTTCTTTTTTTCTTTTGGTACTGGGGATTGAACCCAGGAGCACTTAACCACTGAGCCACATCCTCCACCCTTTTTTTTGTATTTTATTGAGAGTCAGGGTCTCACTGAGTTGCTTAGGGCCTCGCTGGGTTACTAAGGCTGGCTTTGAACTGGTGATCCTCCTGTTTCAGCCTCCCAAGCTGCTGGGATTACAGGCATAGCAGTACCATGCCTGGCTCTAAAGTCCTGTCTCTAAACACAGTCGCATGGGTATTGTGACCTCATCCTAATTTCAGAGGGACACTATTGTGAGTGGCCTTGGGGGCATAAAGAGGCGATGAAGGGTGATCTAGACTTGAGGGCTCCATAGGAGCTTTCCAAGTGGGTGAAGGTCAGAACATGCACCAGGGGCAGGTGGAGCACTGGCTGGGATGGGGGGCGCCCCCTGCAGACTGCGCACCAGGGAGCACCACGGGAAACTGTGCGTCCTCTATTTGCTCCTTGTGGAGACTGCTGTTGTGTGTCTTCCCTGCACCCCAGGCCCTGGAGGGCAGATATGAGCCCCAGACAAAGGCCCCTCTCCCACCTCCAGGAGCTTCTGTTCTCACAGAGGCCAGAGTACAAGTAGCTGATCCATAAAGCGTCGGAGATGTTAGGTGGTGATAAGTCTGAAGCGGGAAAATAAATCGGAAAAGGGAAGGGAGAGGCGGTGGGTGATGGAGATTAACTAGGGAGATCCCCTGAGTAGTGACATTTGAACAGGCTGAAGGTGGCAAACAAATAAATGAATGAGTGACTCAATTCCTGGAGGTCAGGTGAAGGCTTTGGAGAGTTTAGGTGACCTGGTGATGTGTTCTAGAAGTGTCCATTCCACCCATGGAAACCACCACTGGTGGTGTTGAGGTCCTTAGGAACTCTCGAGTCCATGGCCTAAGGCACGTTTTTAATGCAAAACATCCTTACAACTTCTCCTTTTCAAGTGTCCCCAAAAGGGGACTGAAGGAAACTGTTGGCGTTACTCAGCCTTTAACGTGAAAATAAAATTCTTTCCGCGTTTCTGACATCGCTGTCATCACAGATGGCCATTTAGAAGTGGAAGTGGAAGTGGACGATTGTCCCAGCAGATTCTCAGAACCCGGTGTCTGGAAGAACAGAACCTTTTGAAGGCTGATTCAGAGATGTCCAGCAGAGCACACCTGTGCTGTCAACCTGGAAAACTGAACCCCAAATCCCTCCGTGCCTCAGTTGCCAAGCTCTGGGCCCCGGGGAGGCCTGGCGGTGACATTAAGTCACCTGAGTTGTCTAGGACAGAATGACTTGGAAGGTGCCACGTGAAAGCCACGTTGGGACTCACACAGGGTGTGGCACCGAGGAGTGTCCAGGCAGAGGAGACAGGAAACATGTTGAGGAAATAAATTCCATCTGAGGGACAGGAGGAGAAGGAGCAGGAGAGAAGGCAGGACAGATGGCACTGGAGGTTTGAGCAGGGGCTGCCAGGCTGGCGTCCAGGGCCAACACGGGGAGTTTGGAACCTGGAGTCTTGGGCCTTTGGAGGGTTTCGGCCTCCAATTAATGACAGTTACTTCTTGGGGCCAAGAGAATTGGGTGGTTGGGGGCACACCAATGAGGAAGCCATTGGAGATCCAGGTAAGTGGGTGCAGCTCAGGGGACTCGCAGTGGGCAGAGAGCGGGGTAGCTCTGTGCCCTGCCAGGGTACAGGATGGGGGCGTGGTAGAGGGCTGGCTCTAGCCTGGATATGCAGAAGGTGGCAGCTTCCTCTGGCATGAGGAGCCTGGAGGGGGATGGGGCTCACTCCGGGCCCCGCTGCAGGCTGACATCCCCTCCTGGCCCACCGCTTCTCCCCCAGCAGTACGAGACCCTGGAGAAACACAACCACACCCTGCGGAAGGAGATCCAGGCCCTGCAGGCTGAGTTAGGGTGGTGGACTCGCACTCTGCAGCTGCATGAGTGTGTGTGCCGCCTGGACTGCGCCTCCCGCTCAGCGCCGGAGCCTGCTGGCTGCTGGGCTTGGCCCCAGCAGCCCCTGGGACAAACCCCTGCCCGTGGGCAACATGGCTGCCTGAAGCAGAAGGGCCTGATGCAGACTCCAGTCTCCTCTTCCCCAGCTCAGCAACTTTCTCCAGGTCCACACTCTCAGGATTCCTCTGGCCTTCTCCCACCCCTTCTGCCTTTGCTGTCCCTTGGCCCAGCCATGGGGACTGCACCTCCTGCCCAACTGTCCCTCAGGCCTGACCTGTCTGCCTCACCCACTGGCTCTGGCCCGTTGGAGACTTCCTCCAAGCTCGGTGCCCTCCTGCCCAGCCCTCCAGCCCAGCCTGCCCCTCCACAGCCCCTGGGGCCGGAGCACCCCATCAGGGGAGGACTGGGGTCCTCTCCCCACAACCCTTCAGCTGCTCCAGGGCCTGCGTGTCTGCAGAGGAGGGAGCCTGTTCTCTCAGCCCCAGACTGGCAAGGGCCTGCAGTGGAGCCCGGCCCTCAGCCCCTCCTGGCCTTCCCCCTCCTCTCCTCTGCCCAAGTCCACTTCTAACCTGCTCCCAGGAACGAAGCTGCCTCTTCCTTAGGCCCAGGAAGCAGCCTCGGCAACCAGGTGCCTCCTTTGCTGCTGCTGGAAGGTTTCCTTGTTGGTTGACCAGCTGGGCCAGGATTCCCCTGGGGAAAAGGAAGCCATCGCTGACAGCCTACCGCTGCCGCAGCCCCTGCCACCACCAATGTCATTCCAACCTCCCAGTCACCTATGAAACAGAGACGACCATTCCACTGTTTCAAATAAGGAAACAGAGACTCAGAGAAGTCTAAGCGACATGTTGAACATTACACAGCCTGTCTTCATTTGTTATTTTTATTTTTATTAGTTTCTCACGCAGCCTTTCTTGAGACTCGAAACACTATCATCTGCTGTCCTGGTAAGATCCCGGACCAGGGCCCACGGGTCTGAAGTCCTGAAAACTGAGGGCTGGTATAAGGAGGTTCACTGCTGGGAGCAGAGAGGGCTCTCCCCTCTGCTGTCCAGTTCCCATGGCAAAAACCCGGCTGTCCCAGAAACGCTGCCCTGGCTGTGGACAATCCAAAGTTCACAGTGGGCGAGGAGAAGCCCAGAAGCCCAGGAGAAGACGCTTGCGTTATCCCAGTAGTGTTTCCAGTGCCGAGAAACCACTGAGAGTTGGAGCCGATGGAGTTCTGGAGCGGCCCCTCTGGGACTTCCAGAGGCTGTACCCACAGCCATTCTGAGGCCTGGGGGAGACTCTGCAGGGCCACTCTCCTGGCTAATCCCAGGTAGCTCCCCGCCTCCCCTTCCCCAAGGCCTGGCCGGTGGACCTCAGTGATCCATTCATCTTACGCCCCAAGAGCAGGAAGAGAGACCGAGGGAAGTACCGGGGCCGGCGCTGCACTCGAACCTAGCAGCGGTGGGGCTGGTGTCTTCTCTGGCAGCACCAGGACCCTGCGCACCCCCAGGCCTGGTTACCCTCAGACCCCCTGAAGCAGCTTCCTCCTGGCTCTTGGGAAGGGACTGATGGCAGCACAGAGCAGGAGCCTGAGACCAGGTGGGAGCTCAGCTGGGGTGTCTGCTCGGAGAGGACAATCAGATTAGGTGAGAGGGGGTGTCCCTCGCGCCCCAGGACAAGCACTCGGAGATGACTCTTCACCCAGACTCTCACACATGTAGCTGAGACACTATGTCAGGATTTAACACACCCCCAGGTGCTGGGCACAAGTCTTGGCACATTTGATGGCAAATAAATTCAAAAGTGTTTCCCCACTCCTTTTTTGCTTAGGCTAGTTGTTTAAAGCTCTGGGTGTGGTCTATGCTGCAGAAATTAAAAGGTCCTTTGGGAGAAGAAGGAATGGTCTAGAATCTTAGAGGTGGGAAATCCCTCATGAACCCCCTAATCTGATCTTCCTCTCATACTACAGGTGAGGAAACAGGCCCAGAGATGAGCTGGACTTGCTCAAGTGCATTGGTGTTTCTGAGCAGACAGGACCAATAGGGTGTGCATATACATGTGTGTCTGTGTATGTGTGTGTGTATGTATTTATGTACATATAAACACACATATCCATGGTGGGGGGAGTAGTTTAAGATATTCAAAATCTGCAGGGTGGGCTGGTAGGCTGGAGACACAAGAAAGAACTGGTGTTGCAGTTCAGGTTCAAGGGCCTCTGCTGCAGAATTCACTGGTTTGGGAAGATCAGCCTTTTTTGTTCTATTTAGGCCTTCGACTGATTGATTGAGGCCCACCCACCTCCATGGAGGGCCGTCTGCTTTACTCATAATAATGTCATTCTCATCCAAAAATATACTCAGCAGAAATACATAGAGTAATGTTCAAGCACCTGTCTGGGTACCATGACTCAGCCAAGATGATGTAAAATTAACTATCATACCAGGATCACGTAGCAAAGGCAGGTGTCAGGGTGACAGAGGGCAGCTGAGCTGGAGTTAGCAGAGTGGGTTCAGGGAGAATTAGAGGGCAGGAGGGAAGCCAAGATGCTGTTGATTGGAGGTGGGCTTACATCTGGGACAAGAGTTGGCATTATGCACTGTGGACCAGAACTTGATGGGGTGAGGGTACCGCAGCCTGGCTGGTGTCTAAATACCCTGAAATGACAGGCACTGTGCTGTGTTTTAAATGGTGCCTATAATAACTCTGTGAAGAAAATGGGACTATCATCCCTGCAGTTCAGAAAAGGAAACTGAGAGTTAAATAACAAGCCCAGGAACACACAGTAGGAAAAGGTATAGATTTGGTTCAATGATCAGAAGCATTTAGCCACAGACCTCCCATGATTTTTTTTTTTTTTTGTACTGGGGATTGAACCCAGGGGTGCTTAAATACTGAGCCTCATCCCCAGCCCTTTGTATTTTTTATTTAGAGACGGGGTCTTGCTGAGTTGCTTAGGACCTTCCTATGTTGCTGAAGCTGGCTTTGAAATTTCGATCCTCCTGCCTCAGCCTCTTGAGTCTCTGGGATTACAGGTGTGCACCACCACCACGCCGGGTCTTCTGTGTACTTTTATTGCAGAGCCTCAACAGAGGGGTCGGCACATGCTCATGGATATCGCCCAAGGGGGCAAAACTCTACTGTAAGCCCAAAACACAAAGGAGGGGAATGCTTTAGTTAATGTGGGTCCGCTCATCGGGGCAGCAGTGAAGAGCTGCTCAGAATAAAGAACGCTCGGAAGATTATTTAATGAGATGAGAAAATGCAACATATTAAGCAGGAAAAATAGAACATAGGAATAGAACTGTCACTATCGTTTGATATTATGCTCCCTCCCAAACATAAACAGAATAAAAGGAGTGGGAGGAGATGTTGTAGATTTTTGAGAGCGATAAGTGATGTATCTGTGAATTCCCAAATTTGTAAACAGTGAGCAGGAGCGCAGAAGCCGCGAGGCTGAATATATCCTACCACTCTATATCTGGGCCTGTTGGTGTCTGTTGGTGTCTGCTGCTGCGGAACAAATTACTCCCAAACCTAGTGGCATAAGCAACATTCATTATCGCACAGTTTCTGTGGGTTGGGAGTCTGGGCATGACACAGGCTGTGCTACTGTACTGGCTCAGGGTCTCACAAGGGGCTGCAATCAAGGTTGGTTGGCCAGGTACAGTCACCCCAAGGCTCCATGTGGGAAAGGTCTGCTTCTGAGCTGCCCATGTGGTTCTGCAGACCCTAGAAGGCCCATGTTGTGGTTTGGATGTGAGATGTCCCCCCAGGAGCTCACGTGTGAGACAATGCGAGAAGGTTTAGAGGAGAAATGATTGGGTTGTGAGAGCCTTAACCCAATCTGTGAACCAATCATCTGATGGGATTAATTGAGTGGGGACTGGAGGCAGGTGGGGTGTGGCTAGAGCAGGTGGGGCATGGGGCGTGGCCTTGGGTATATGTTTGTATTTGGCCAGTGGAGTCTTTCTGCTTTCTGATCATCATGTGAGCTGCTTCTCTGCCACACTCTTCCATCTTTGACGTCCTGCCTCACCTTAAGTCCCAAAGAATGGAGCCTGCCTCTTATGGACCAATACCTCTGAAACTGTGAGCCCCTAAATAAACCTCTCCTTCTCTACAGTTGTTCTGGTTGGACAAAACAGCCCACTTCCAAGTATGTCTTTTATTGACGATTACAGGTTGTTGGCTAGAGAAATCGGTACCTCACCAGTTTGTAGAAGAGCTCAACCTGACAGCTGCTTTCCCTCCAAGAAAGAGTGAGGAAAGATAGGCAATAGGAGGAATATGGAAGGCACAGTCTTTTTAAAAATTTATTTACTTTTATTTTACTTCTTTTTGTTTTTCATTGCTAAGGATGGAGCCCAGGGCCGGGTGCATGCAGAGGCCTTATCCTTAGTCACATTTCCAGCCCAAGGTCGTCCTGAGCTGGGCCTGATGGCCCATGCCTGTAATCCCAGCAGCTCTGGAGGCTGAGGCAGGATCCTAAGTTCAAAGCCAGCCTCAGCAACTTAGCAAGGCCCTAAGGAACTCAAAATTAAGTGTAAAAAAGGGCTGGGGATGTGGCTCAGTGGTTAAGGGCCCCTGGGTTCACCCTGGTACCAAAAAAAGAAAAAGAAAAAAAAAGTCATCCTATCATTTTTGCCATATTCTATTCATTAGAGGTAAGTCTCAGGTTCAGGTCACACTCAAGGGAAGGGGATTCCACCAGGGATTGTATAAAAACCTGGAGTCAGGCTCAGTGGCCGAAGGTCCTGGAAGCTGCCTGTCATGCTGGGGAAGAAGCAGCCCCCTCTTGGATCCCTACCTTTTCCTTCCATCACCAGCACTAGCAGAGGACTTTCTTTGGAGAGGTTTTTTTTCAGAAGGTGACAGTTTGGATCCCTTTAAACAGTGCCAAGGCTCCCAGCAGTGAGCAGCTGTGGGGTTTTAGGCTGCAGCAAGGCACCTCGCTGGAGATGGACTCTCACGCTAGCCTGGCAGCAAGGACAGTGCAGGTGTTCCCTCCCCAGAACGCCCTTTAAAGTGATGCGTGGACAGTCAGCACTGAAATGTCCGGCATTTGCAGGCCAAGGGTATCAGTTCTAGGGATCAGACCCACGGTCACTCTGTCACTGAGCCCTTTCTATTTTATTTTGAGACAGGGCCTCACTAAGTTGCCCAGGCTGGCCTTGAGCTTGCAATCCTCCTGCCTCAGCTGCCTGAGTCACTGAGATTACAGGCGTGCATTACCGCTCCAGGCTCCGAGAGTCTCTACTGAGGAATAGTTGACATAGAAAGAAATACACATTTTTAATGTGCTCAATCTGAAGAATTTGGACATATGCAAACTATGACATCACAACCACAATCAGGGTAACAGACATATCCAACATCTCCCAGTGCTTCCCGTGTCCTTTTGTGTGTGTGTGGTAAGGACACTTTATAAGAGATCCACACCTATTGTTAATGATAGGTGCTGTGTTGTACAGCAGATCTCTAGATCTTTTTCATCTTGCATAACTGGGACTTTACACCCATTGAACTTCTCCCCATTCCCCCTTCCTGAAGCCCCTGCCAACTGCTATTGTAATCTCGGCTTCTT